GTCCCGGCAGGACAGGGGGTGTGAGGCCACCAACAAAGAGGGAAGAAGGAGAAGCAGCAGCAGCTCCATCTGGGTGATGGCGAAATTCCCTTCTCTCCACCGCAGCAGCTCCGTGACCCAGCACACGAACGTCCTTCCTCGAAAACCGAAGAAGAACCAGCCCAAAAACTGTCCCCACCCTCCTTTTCTGCCCCCTTCCCCCTCTGGGCCCGGCCATTCATTGTCCTTTGTCGAGCATCCCTAAGTACCGGTAGTTAGTTAGGTTGTCCCAGCACATAATGGGTAAAAATTCCCCGGGCAGGCCAGAAGGACAAAACAAAACAAAACAAAACAAAACAAAACAAAACAAAACAAAAAAAAAAAAAAAAAAAAAAAAAAAAAAAAAAAAAAAAAAAAAGGACACCTAACCCTCAACAGGGTGGCAGCCCAAAAGGTGTCTCACTGATTCTAGCCAGGATGGAAGATGAAATGCGCGGCAAGATGGAGGAGCACCCAATTCAGCCATCTCAGTAGGGTTTTGATGGCTCAGAATGCCACTTGTATCAAAGTCTAGCATTTCCCCTTAGTCCAGGTGCTTTAGGCAGCTCAAGAGCAAGCAGCTCCTGAAGGATTGGCTGCTGCCAGTGTGTCTCACTGCTGTCTGTCTGCAGGGCTCAACGGCAGGGTCGGCACCTCCTCTGGCTCCCTCTCTTGGTGAGGAAGAGGCTGAAGAGGAGCAAGACCACATCAAGCCCCCCAGCTGCTGTCCCTCCACAGCCCAAACAGGCAGAGCCAGTAAGTGGCACCAGCGGTTGGCACAGCCTTTGGTGCAGGGCCAAGCTTCAAGTGGCACATCACCCAGGCCTTGGTGCTCATGGCTGAAGATGCTGGGGGCTGTGGACTTGCCACGATGTTCGTGTTGCTCCAGCCAAGCCGGGGACCCCTGCCTAATGGCTTCTGAGCTTTGACTTTTAAGCAGCACTTGGCTGGGATGCTGAGAGGCCCCGAGCATGTCTCTCAGGATCAGAGCAGGGGCAGCGTGAAACGATGGCCGGTGTAGAAGTGAGCCCCTTGGTGCCCGGTGTCAGTGCAGGCTGCCGCTGGTCAGCGGACAGAGCGGTCCAAAGACACACTTGACAGCCTTGAGGGATACTTGGGAGGCCCTGGCCCCTTGCAGGGAGCCGGCCCTCTGCACGGTGTAAGGAGCTTCAGGCACAGCATAGGCTGTGCTTCAATTGCACGTGGTCAGAGCAGAGTGTGGTGAGGAGAATCCGCACCAACGCAGCTCCGCACTGTAAAGGCCGGCTGGGTGTCAGGAGGGCAGGAAGGCAGCTGCCAAGGGCTGCTCCCTAAAGCCTGAAATGCAGAGGGGAAATGAGTGAAACAGATGACAAGAGGTCAGACATCTGCACGCTAGCTCCTGGTTGATTTCATTGCCCAGGAGAAGGCAGGAGGAGCAAAGCACCAAGGCTCTGGGACCCTGCTCCCACCTCCTTCTGGCTCTTTGCAACTGTGTCAATACCATGTGGCAGCGGTCTAGCAGAAGAGCTGATAAAATGTAGCGTGGACCTCACCAAGACCTGCTGTACCAGAGCAGCCCTTGGCCTTTTCCCATTGCCTTGGAGTAGGGGACATCCAAAGCCCCCCAGCTGAAGAGGCCTGGCGCTGGCTGACAGCGCCTGCCTGAGGCCTTGCTTTTGCCGTGCGCTCTGCAGGGCATCTGGGCCTGCCAGCCAGCCTTCTGACGGGCCACCTTTTCTTGTCGCAGCTGGACACACGCTCTGAAATCCAAGGTGCCGCTGGAGCAGCAGGGCCTGAGGCAGCCGGTGCTCCCACAGCTGCTGGAACTGGGTCCAGCAGCCTCGCCCAGCCGGCCAAGATGAGAGAGGAGCAGAGGCTGATGAGACTGAGTACGTCTGCTGTATTTCTGGGGGACTAGAGCAGAGTGCAAGCCATCCGTCTTGGTGCAGGCTGGGCCACGAGTTCCTCCCGGGTCTCGTGTCTCAGAGGCCCTTAGGCCTCTCTGCACAACCTGCTGCTGTTCATCCAGGCAGCGAGAGAGTGCTCAGTGCGTTCCTGCTGCCTCTGAGGGCAGCTGGGATTGGCTTGCCTCTGCCTGGGCTGCCTTCTGCGGCAAAGACAGAAGCAGGGATTGCTTCTGCTTGAGCAGAAGGCTGGCACTTAGCGAGTGGCTAGGCTCCAGGGAGCTCTCAAGCTGCCGACTGGCAGAGGGGTGGTGGCATTTTGGATGGTCTGGGAAGCGGCGTCTCTGCTTGCGAGTGAGTGCCTTGCACTGCTTCTGTCTTTCAGGGAGCGTTGTGAGCCCGGGTGAGCCAGGGAGGAAATACACAGCCCTTGAAGAACTTGGACGAGGGTAAGCAGGACGTCTGCTCCTTGTACAGCAGCATGGGCCACGTCTTTCACTGGTGCCATATCCAGCGCCAAGTCAGGCAAACTCCAAACACGGTCCACCTCTGGCTTTTCTTCTTGACACCTCTCAGGACTGCTGAGTCAAGAGCAAGCAGATGGCATCATCAGAGACAACTTGGTGCTGGCAGTGTCTTGCTTGTGGCAAGGAGCAAGAGCTGGAGGATCTCCTGGCCCTGCAAGTTTTATGGGCCACCAGAGCACCTTGCTGAACAAGAGCTGCCAGATAACAGCTCTCAAAGACATTGTTTCCAAAGTTAGTCTTGTCCACTTTATACACCCAGCCACGCACCCACCCAGACACACAGGCTTAAGAGCCCCACTTTTTTGTGTGTTTGGTTCAGAAGCAAGTGCACGTGTGCCTTGGAGATTTGCAGCAGCCCCTGGTCTTCATGTTGGACCCGAGTGTTCTCTTGGACAGCCTGCATGGCAAAGGGTGGCTGGGCTGATGTGCTCTTGGCTGAAGAGACGCTGCAGCCAGGCTCTTTGGAAAGAGTGCAGCAGACAGCCTGGGGAGATCTCCTGCCTAGGCTTGCTTTCAGTGCCAGGGATTAAAGAGCTTTTTCTGCTGCCCTTTTCTTTCTAGGGGCTTTGGAGCTGTTTATAGAGCCCTGGATGCCAGCACAGGGAAACAGGTAAAGATTCAGCAGCCCCCGCGGGTTTTGCAGCTCCGGAGCGCTTCCCCTGCTGCTGGAGACCGTGGCTGGAGCTTTGGCCGGCCGCTCCATCTCTGCAGCAGAGGCTGCTCGTCTGCAGCACAGACTGGGCTCAGCGTGCAGAATGCATTTGGGACAGGCTTTGGTGCTTCTCTGAAGCTTTGCTGTCTAGTAACAAGGCAGTTTGGCAGAGCTCAGCTGCGTGGTCGCACAAGCACTGGCTCCGTGTTCCTTGTGATCTGCTGCAAGGAGCGACTTGTCAAGTGAACAGTCTTCTATGTCCTTTTAGGTGGCCATCAAGAAAATGACGCTGCAAGAGGAGGATTCCGAGGAGCTGGCTGTCAATGAAATCCTGGCCATGAGGGACAACAGGAATCCCAATATTGTTACCTACTTAGACAGGTTGGGGCGTTGGCATGTCAGCGTTCCTTCAGATAGTGCAAGGCAGAAATGACCAACCCCTTTGGTCAGCGGCAGAAAGCGGAGCTGCTTGTGCTTTCTCTACTTGTGTCCAGCACAGGGGAGGAGGTTTCACTTGGTGTGCAAGAATCTCTTCCGGCATATGTAGCTTGGAGAGCAGTGGCAAAAGCCTGGCTCAGGCCCTCGGGTGACTGAGCTGTACCCGTTGCTGTCTCTCCATGCCGTACTTTTTCTTCTTGCAGCTACCTGGTCGACGAGGATCTCTGGCTGGTGATGGAATTCATGGACAGAGGCACGCTGTTCGATGTACTCAGGGCAGCGTACCTGGAGGAAGAACAGATAGGCTGTCGGGAGGTGAGGGATGGCGCCTGTGCCGGCCCTGGCCTGCACAGGATGGTCCTTGCCAGCGGGTGGGGAAGAAGAGCAGAGGTTTCTTGCTCACTCCTTTGTTTTGGTGCTGCTGTCACGGCACCAGGAGAAGAGTGAGCATCTGAAGGGAACTGCCTGCCGTTGTCCCCGCACTTGCCCAGGCTCTCGTACTCCTACATGGCGTCTGTCCTCTGACGCTCGCGCTTGCTCCCTCGCTTGCTTTCACTTGTTTCCTCTTGGAACCTCTGCCTCTCCGTGTTTGCCTGGAGCGTGTCTGTCTGTCCTGCACCCCTTGCTGCTCCAAGGCAGCGTGCTGCTGGCAGAATTTCTAGCTGAAGGGATGTGCTGAGCTTCAAAGAACAGCACTGCAGTGCAGATGGCACTGGATTCTGCAACAGCTCTATCGTGCCGCTTCCTCCTCTGCTGCCACAGCTCTGCCAATAAAATCTTTGCCATGCCGCTGGCCAGCCAAAGGTCCCGCACTTTCTAACGAAGGCGGGAGGGGCTCTCTGAAGCTCAGATGCCTTTGCTTCAAAAGATGGAAAACACTTCTAAAGGTGCTGAAGCAGCAAGCTCTTCCTCTTGCCGACAGCATGATGCTGCGCTCACAAATTCCCCGAGAAAGGTGTCAATCTCCTCGAGCCCTTTCCTTTCTTGTGGCATGAAATCGGGTGGCCTGAACATTTCCCCTTGCCTTCCTCCTTTCTCTCTCAGTGCCTGCAAGGACTGCATTTCCTTCATTCCCGCTGAGTCATTCACAGAGACATCAAAACTGGCAACGTTCTTAAGGGCACGGACGGATCGGTCAAATTGGGTGGGTATGGCTGGTCAGGCGCAGCGTAGCCAGCATGTGCTGTGGGGCTGCTTTTGGGGTGACTGCCAGTCGCCCAGAAGCGCTGCTTGGCCAGGGCAGGCATGCTGAGGGAGGTTCTGAAGTGAAGTTTCTTATTTCCCCGGCTGCAGCCGTGTGGACGCAGAGCACCGCAGCTTTGCCAGCCAGGACAAAGATTGAGCATGGCCTTGTCAGGCTTGGAGTGGGCAATGCTCGTGGCTGGTTTGCCAGCGGTCGCTGTCCTTGACAGGCTTTGTCTTTCTCCTCAGCTGACTTTGGTCTCTGTGCTCGGCTAAGCCCTGAGTGCAGCAGGTGCGACTCCAGCGTCGGCACTCCCAGCTGGATGGCGCCAGAAGTCGTGAGAGGAGAAGCCTACGGCCCCAAAGTGGACATCTGATCCCTGGGGATCACGGGGCTGGAGATGGTGGAAGGGGAAGCTCCTTACCAGAGGGAGCCCAAGTTCAGGGTAAGGTGCAGCTTCCCAAGGGGGCTCTGTGTGGAGAGAGTTTTTGTGGCTAGGAAAGGAGCAGCTTGAGCGTCCCCTTGCCTTTCTCATAGGTTTTGGACTGATCGAAAGGAACGGGCCCCCAAAACTGCAAAACCCCAGGCACCACTCGGCTCTCCTGCGCGACTTTCTGCGCTGCTGCCTGCAGGCAGACGAAGACAGGCGCTGGTCTGCCCAGGAGCTCCTGCAGGTAAGCAAAAGGGAAGTGGCAAGAAGCCCTGTGAGCTGAGGACAGCCGCATGAAGGGATGAAGGGGACTGTAGGCCACGTGGGCCTGGGTGAGCCAGGTGAGCGGCACAGGAAGGTGCAGGGGCAGAGGGTGCTCTGGGTCCTCCTGGTGCATCTTTCTGGTAGCCCAGCAATCCTGCTGGAGTGCCAGAGGCTGAAGAGGAATCTGTGATCTTGGAAAGTAAGGCTCCCTTTCTTTTTTGTTTTTTCTCTGGGCAGCATCCGTTTGTGACCTCAGGCCAGCCCGCCTCCAGCCTGGCTGCTCTCATCGTCTCAGCCAAGCAAGTGCAGGAAGACTGGAGAGGAGAGGCTTGCGCCTGAGGAAGCCTTTGTGCCACGCCAGCTCCGAGGAGTGCAAAGGGGATGGATGGTGTTTAGGCAGAGAGTCAGCCATCCCCTGGACTTTCTGAGGAGCTGAGCCACGCAGAGGAAAATTTCATCTTTTGTTGTTTTCTTAGCTTTGCCGTTTTTAGTTAGGATGCTACAGCATAGCAATCTTCATTAATGTATAGCTAAGGGTAGAGTATTGTTGTCGTAGGGAAGCTTAGAAGTAGCCTTTTAGGAGAATAGAGAGAATTGTCATAGTAAGAATGAAGCTATCAAAGCAAAAGCAAAAACTCAGCAGAACCGAAGCATGCACGTGCTACGAGCTGTCAGCCTGAACAGGCTACCTGGAGGAGAGAATGATGAAGATGATGAAGTAGCCAGAAGAGGCTCTGTTTCAGCCCTGGGTTTCAGCAAGACTGGCAATAAAAACCCAAAAGCCTCCAGAGCCCTTGCAGGTTCCTTTCCTTGCCACGCCGCACCTAAGACCGACGGCACCTTTGGAGCTGTGCGCTCCAGCCGGGCTGTGGCCTTCGTGGCTTTGCGCTGCTGGCCAGCAGCCCAAGGCTCTCCCCCTCACCATGGGGCCCTGTCCCAGCCCAGCCCACCTGCCCTGTAGAGATGTTGCCCCCGTGCCCTGGCGTCCCCCAGGGCCAGCAGCTGCTGCTGACGGCGGGGCAGGAGGAGGGAGCAGACCCTGCTTGTCCCCTGCTCCTGGCCATCACTTGGCAGGAGAGAGGAAACGAGGGCTGAAATGGCACGTCTTCCAAAGGCTTCCCTCCTGTAAACCTGTGGGGCACCAAAGCGCTCTACTCAAGGGGGTCTGGGGCCCTGCACGCACCTCTCCATGCTGAGGTGTCCTTCTTCCTTCCCTGAGCCCTACAGCCCTGCAGCTGGTTGATGTGAGCTACCTTGGTATGGGAAAAAAAATGGAGTCGCAACAGAGAGCACACTTGAGCTTCTGCTCTGGCCTTGCAGAGGAACTTGTGGGTACTCAGTGGTTGTCCAAAGAACTCTGCTGAGAGTTCTGCTGCTGCCCAGGGCTTTCATTGGTCTCTTAACTGTGGGGCCTTGTCCTGGGGAGCCCACTCGGGCTGCAGCCAGAGCTGGCTGCCACTGAGGCCACCTGGCCAAGAGCAGCCCTAGGAGCAGCAGGCAGAGGCAAAGCGAGGTAGGGAGGAAGAAGAGAGGGGAAGAGATTGGCCTTGAAAGGCAGACACACTCTGGGGTCCGCTCCTGGCCAGGGACCCTGCCCAGAGCCATCCCCTGCCTGTCGGGGCCTTGAGGGGCAGCTGTCCAGCTGGGCCGAGGTGTGCCAGCAGCTCCAGCCATGCTGGGGAGCCTTGGCAGCTCTGGGCCCTGCTGGGCAGGAGGGTCCCTGTGTGCCAGTGGCAGCTGGGGGCCTCAGCCGCCTCCTCTCTCCACAGGAGCACTTCTGGAAAGCAGCTGAAGGACAGTGGCTGCACTACACACCCGGGCAGCTTGAACAGCTCCTCTTCAGTAATGAGGGCCTGGGCAGCTCTCTCAAGAGCTCTGAGAAGAGGACCCTGGAGCAGCCATTCCAGAGAAGAAGGAATCTTCCTATAACCCTGTAGATCTTGTCCCCATGGGTATCCCCAAGGTGCCTTCAGTCCCACTTTTGATCTTCCTCTATCCCGGCCTAGCCCATTCCTTAGTTTTTGTAGAGACCCCAGGACCAGCCCAGCACCCTCCAGCCCCAGCTGAGACCTACATGGCCCTTCCTCTGCCCCTGAGCCCCCTGGCCCTTCCCTCTAACCAGCACTGAAGGTGAGGCCATCTGCCAGTGTAGGTGATGGCCCCTTCATCTGTTCCAATAAAGAGATGGAGCTGTTACCCCAGTGTCCGCGTGGTACCGCCAGCAAAGCCCACACAACACCAGCCCTACCCGAGCTCCATGTCCAGGAGCAGCCGGGGCTGACCCCAGTGTGGGCAGGCAGGAGCCAGCGGCAGGGCCCCGAGGACTGGAGGAGCCCATGCTGAGCATCCCTGGCCTGAGGGCACATTTCCTTCAGTGGCATCACCTGGGCCTGGACCTCCTCCACTGGCATGCCCAGGAAAAGAGGGAACCATCAAGAGCATCTCCAGGGATGCAGTCTTACCAGCAATGTCAGCAGGAAAAACAAAGTTTCTCCCTAATTAACACACCCTTGATAGGTCCTAACTGGTGGGCCATCACCAATCCTACACGGTGCTGCACAGGCTCTGCTCCTCTGGGCAAGGGCCAGAAGGGAAAGGCCATGTAGCTGTGGGCCCCAATGGGGCTGATGAACAGCACTGGAGGCACAAGAACCCAGCTGCAACTACACTTGGATTTCCAGGTGAAAACACTCAGTGTAGCTGGACTGGGCTTCCCTCTAAGGCATGTGGGGGCTTTGGAGTGCCCCATAAGGTTCAGAGGAGGCTGTGGTCCTTTGTGGGACACACAGGGATATTTTAGGTTCCCTCCAAGTTATGGAGGGCACTGGGGTTCCCTGTAAGTCATGCAAGGGATCTGGAATCCTGTGTGAGGTGTGCAGGGGGGTTGGGATGTTTCCCAAGGTGTGCAGGCTGATGGGGGTCTCTCCTGAGGTACGTGAGGGGGGATTTGCGTTCTTAGTGCAGTTGTGGAGAGGGCTGTGGGCTCCCATCAGCCTGCTGGTGCTTTGTGTCCCTCCTGCTGCACGCAGTGGGGCTGGAGTCTCTTCTGAGGCACGCAGGGGATGGGGTCCCTCCCGGGGTCCCTCCTGGGGCAGTCCGGCTCGGGGCTGCAGCGGCCCAGGGGCACCCAGGGCCAGCCGCTGTGCCGGGCTGGTGGTGCCGAGGGGTTGAGGTGCCGCTGCACGGGCACGGCTCAGGCGCTGCTGAGCAGCCCGAGACCAGGGGCCACGGCCCACACTGCCTCCATCGGAGCTGGGAACACAGACAGCCCCGCCGGCAGAGCGGTGGCACCGGGCCCCAGCCAGCGCCGGGGCGAACGGAGCCGATGCCAGAGGAGCTGTGGGGCCCGCCCGGCTCTCCGGGCCTGTGGGCAGCCCGGGCGGGAGCGGCTCGCTCTGTGCCGCGCTCTCCCTACAGAACAGGGCTCCGAGTGAGCGCCCGGCTCCTGCCGCTGCCTCGGCAATGCTGAGGGGGACTCGGGGCCGCAACGGAACTCGCCAGGGAGAGAAACAGTTCATAGGAGACTTCTTTAGGCCTGTCTAAAGATGAACTGAGAAGCAACTTCAAATCCCAGGCTAAACAGTGTGTTTTAATGTGTGCTGATTCCTGGAAGACGCTTTGTTTGTAACTGCACATCAGGCCCGTGGTGCCGTTCCAGCGAGCACCAACAGCCAGGAAAGAGCTCTGCTGTTTGCAGCGCGGCTGGGACGAGGGAAATGAGTCCACATCCCTACACATGCCCGCTCTGCCTTCAGGGCTGCTATAAATGAGTAGCCGATTTGATGAATACAGAAGAATTTATTCTAGAATGAAAATACAATGGTAAACACCAGAATCAAAAGTCAGATCGGCGCTGAACCGGGCGAACAGCGTCGGGTGGGGCAGGGAGAGGCTTGCGAGCACCGCTTCACCGTGCTTCACAAACCGCCACTGTCCCAGGGTGCTTTTGTAATTCTTGAAGCCTTTTAAGGCTCGCTAAGGATTAGCTCCAGGGCTTTTGTGCCAACATCATTTGGTCATTCCATTCACTATTTGTCTTTTTCATTTGACTCCAATATCCAGTGGGGGGTTCTGGTTGTCAGACTCTGGGATTACTATTTGAATTTATTGCTAAAGTGAATATACAAGGAGTATATCCCACTACTTTAGTAGGTCTTTTTCCTTCTCTGCTGATACAAACTCTTCCAATTATTTGGTGATGTAAAACCCACCCTTCGGGGTGCTTTAATGTTTTGGAAACTTCGGTATGATTGGAGAGTGATAGTCACAAAACCCAAAGTTGCATCATGTTGGCATCCACCAATCTGTTATAAATGAGTAGCCAATTGGATTAAAAAAAAAAGAATTTATTCTATAATAAAAATAAAGTTGTAAAAAGCCACAAGTAAAAGTCAGAACAGGAACCAGGCATGGGCTTCTGTGACCAGCAGCGGGTCCCCGAGGGGCAGAAGGAGTCCAAGCTGTGTGTGCCGGGACTGAGGGCACATTTCCTTCAGTGGCATCACCTGGGCCTGGACCTCCTCCAGTGGCGTGCCCAGGAAAAGAGAGAACCATCAAGAGCAACGCCAGAGATGCACCCTGACTTTGGACATGGCTTACCGAACCAGAGAGATGTTCAAGCCCTCAGGGGCTGATTGTTCCCAAGGGAACGTCTTTTGAGAACTCTTTCTCTCTCAAGGACTGATTGTGCAAATAAGGTTTGGTTTCCCAAAACGGATGTTTT